GAAGACTATTAGATCGGTTGAAGGCAAAGCTGAAGCATTTGAGGACGTACGGCTACCCTAGAAAACGTGTTTTGAGATTGTAAGTGATAGATCTCATGTTGTATTTAAGACATGATTTTTGTACTTTATATATATATAACATTTGTAACCTATCCTTATACTCCTTTAACTCATGTATGCCTTGTGTTAATACCCTATCAAGATCTGTCAAAAAGGTAGCTTTGCTATCTAAGGTGGTTAGACTTAAAAGGGAGGCTATTTTGACTCCTTCGACCTTCTTGGAATCTTGCTTGGTTATTAGCCAACGGACTCATTAGTGACATTTCCTACTCTTGTAACCTTAGATAAACCTTGTATTTAATGGTTAATATATTATCTAATGTTCCCGATTTTTGGGGTGTCACAGTTGCCGTCGCAGAAGCAAACGAACTTCGCGTTGTTGCGACGGACGGTGTCGAAATTGGATGGCGGGGAAGAGAGGTCCGAGGCAATCGACGTCAGGAAACTATACCGTTTCATTCGCGAACTCGTTGTCAAAAGGGCATTGGCAACCACAGAGCAAGACAATTACAAGTTTCTCTCCGCCATCAAAGAACGCCTCAATAGTTAATCGCATTACACTCTCTCTCTCTGCATATACATACATACATACATGTATACGTATATATATATATATATGTGTGTGTGTGTGTGTGTGTGTATGTGTGTGTGTGTGTGTGTGTGTGCCTCTCAATGGACAAGAAACCAAGAAATTGATTTATTGCAATTCTCCTCCATTTATACGAAGTATGAACGACTAGAAATTTCTTCAATGCATGAGACGTTAATCAATTATGGCAACATAGTTGTGAAGTCCATTGAATTATATTCAATTGTTATTTGGGTAATGGTAGGGATACCAAATTTTCTACCAAAACAAAGGACCAAGGCCTTGTTTGGTTTGACTTTGGGAGATAAGTTTTCAAAAAATATTTTGAGAAGAGAGTTTAGAAATTTTTGTAGTTTGTTTGGTTATATATTTTGAAATAGTTTTGGAGTTTCAAAGTTTGGGACAATACAGTCATTTCAACATCTTGAAAATTTCGCGGGGCAACCCAGTCCCTTCGCATTCTGAAAGCCTATAATTCCTGTCATTTGATAAAGAGTTGGTCACAATCGGCTCAAACTCTCTCAATTCAGTTACGGGGTGGGGTGAGGGTAAGAGTGAGAGACTTTTAGAGAGAGAGGAAGTCTTTCTCATCACAAAACAAAGATATACACAAACGCTCACAATTTGTGAGAGAGAGAGAGAGATCATGGTAGCATCGGACGGGGACTGAATTCTTCGAATTGGACGTGGAAAGCGGAATCGATAGTTTCTCGAGAGCGTCGAATGCAGAGTCCGTGAGGGAAGATGAAGATGAGCTTCTTTGGGCGGCTCTATCAAGGTTTCCGTCGCAGAAGCAGACGAACTTCGCGTTGGTGCGACTGACGGTGTCGAAATTTGACGGCGGAAAAGAGAGGTCCGAGGCAATCGACGTCAGGAAACTAGACTGCTTCAATCGCGAACTCGTTGTCAATAGGGCATTGGCAACCACAGAGCAAGACAATTACAAGCTTCTCTCCTCCATCAAAGAACGCCTCAATAGGTAATCGCAATACACGATCTCTCTCTCTCTCTGCATATACATACATACATACATACATGTATATGTACATATATATGTGTGTGTGTGTGTGTGTGTGTGTGTGTGTGCGTCTCTCAATGGACAAGAAACCAAAAAATCCCGACCCTTGGGACCAGATATTAGTATAAATAAAGGAACATCAACCAAAGAAAGGTATGTGAGAATAGATTAAATAACTTAAGGTAGAAGTAAACTTGAGAGCATATTAACTTGTCTGTCGTAGTGCTAATTCTGGCACCCCTAACCAGAGTGTTCATCCATTTTTCTAGTGACAATCTGAGGATCAAGAACGTCCTATTGGCTCTTGGAGTATTTCCAAATCCCATCTCGACATTTATCAATTTTAAGATTGAAATAAACATACTAAGAATTCTCTATTTTATTTACTAAAATATATTGAATAAAATGGCTTTGTTTTTATCATCTACTAAGTTAAGTTGAAATAAGAATTTTCGGTTTTATAGAAGAGTGCCTAGTCTATATCAAACTAGCTATTTTAGTTAATTTTTTTCAAATTTTTATAAAAAAAAAAAAATACAAATGTAGAGAGAATAGCTGTTTTTTTTTTACTATTTTAGGTGATCAAAAATGGTTGGAACCCCTTTTTTTGGGGTTCCATGACCCCCAATTTTATCATGGGCCTTGATATGTGTGTGGGGTCCACTCATGTATGTGTGAGCCCTACATTATAAGTGGTTAAGATGAGAGTGGAGGTTGTGAGGGTCATGTATGTGTAAGGATCTCTATCACAATTGTTTAGGTGATTCCCAAATGAAAAATGCTTGGACCCCTTTTTTTAGAGACCCCCATTACTCCCTTGGATCTCAACCATTAATATATGTGTGGGGCCTATACCATTAATGATTGAGATCCAAAAGAGATTGTGGGGGTTTCCAAAAAAAATGGGTCTCAATCATTATTGTTTCCAAAATCACTTAGTAAGTTTTCATAGAAGACAGGATTCACATATTTACTTTAGAGCAGATTTGGTTGTTAACAAAATCTCATTTGGGCTATTTAATAATTAATTTATTTACAAATTAAATACCTACACACATTTACATGTAAATAGCAAACAATTAAATTTAAATTTTACTATCTTTATAAAAGAAAAAAGTTAGGGGTTGTTTGGGGTGTCCTAAATAAGTGCACTTTTTGTCTTTTTGGACTAAAAAATTGAGGAAGAAAATATGGATGTTTGGGTTAACTTTTTGACTTTTTATGAAAAAATGTGTAATAAAAAATTGTAAAAATTGATTTGTAGGAAAAAATTTGAATTGGGAGTTGTGCAGCGGGAAAAATTAGGATTGGGAGTTGTGCAGCCGTAATTATTGACTTTTGGTGAATAGTGTCAAATTCTGAATTAACTTTTTGAGTAACTTTTTGACTTTTTTGCAATATGCCAAACTTGGCCTTAATATCTCACTGCAACAAAATGCACCTTTGGCGATCAAAATTGATGACTAAAAAAAATTTTGTCGCCAAAAGTTGTGAAATTGGCGACCAAAATTTTTTTTATTTGGCAAAAATACAATATTTAGCTACTAATTTTTTTTAGTCGAGGCATATTAACTATTGGCGACTGCAAAAAAAATTTAGTCGCTAAAAATACTAGAATTGGCGACAAAAAAATTATTTTTGTCGCCGTATATTGAGTTTCGGCTATTAAAAATGATTTAGTAACCAAATGTAAAATAAAAAATTATTTGTCATCTTTGGCGATCAAAAATTTAGTTACCAAAAACATATATTCAGTAACAAAAAAAAATTTAATCGCCAAAAAGTTAAAATATTTGGAGGAAAACCTTTCAAATTTTGGAGGGTTAAATAAAATAAATTAATTGGCGACTAAAAGTTTTAGTCGATAATGCTGTAATATATATATATATATATATGGTTTCCAAACCAAACAAACCAGTGCCTCTCTGTCTCTCTCTCTAGCGTCCGTCTCCCTCTCCAATGATGGATTGGGATTTTATTTTATTTATTTATTTTTATTTTTTGTCAGTCAAACTTGGTTCTTATGTAGTTATAATTTGATTAGCAGTGGTAGCACTAACTGGTGTGCATTTAAGTTTTAATTTCTTTTAAATTGCAGAGCATTGGCTGGTGTGCATTATTTGATATTTTAATTTTTTTATATTTGATTTGTTTGGAATTGTAGAGTACAGTCTGTTAAATATATTTTTATAACTGCATTTTAATTTTAATATTATTTACACCGTGCCTTTAGGCACGGGCATACGCTAGTATATATATAATATACAATCCAAGACTTACTGGGGAAGCTTAAGAAGCACTAAGTCTAAAATAAAGTAAACAAAACAACTAAGTCTGAGAGGCAGCATAAGAGAGACGACCGATACGGAGTTACGAAGTGCAACGCAACACCTAGCCTAGCCCTTGTCCTGACTCCTCAAGAAGGTAATCAAATAAATTTGCTCTCAACTTTAATATTCTCATTGTTGATCTTTGTGGCTTTTTTGGGATTAAAGTTATATTATATCATATATGGGTTTGCTTTAAAGTTATATTATATCATATATGGGTTTGCTTTCCGCTTTAATTTGCTTTAATTTTTTGGGAAGGGTATTAAATAAATTTGCATACAGTTGGCTCAATTGTGAGATAGTGATGGATTGAGCTTATATTATACTCATATTTCTGTCTATGTTGGTTGAAGTTTCAATAATTTATGTCTGAGATTAATTGGGATTTATGCAATATGTTTTCTTTTTTTTCTTCAGTTAGTTTTTTGAGCTTATATTATACTCATATTTCTGTCTATGCAATATGTGCCCCAATTGTCTGTTAGTTTTTTATTCAAATACAATTATCATTTATGTCTAAGAATTAATGGGCTTATTTGAGGTGATTGTTTTCATATTTATGTCTGTTGATTGAAGTTTGAATATGGGTGGTCCAATTGTCTGCTAGTTTGTAATTCAGGTACAATTGTTAAGTTAATCATGGCGAACAAAAAAATTGATTTCTTCTTTAAGAAAAGAGGTTCTGAAAATATCGTTCAAAGTTCCACCAATAATGTTGAAACTTCAACTCCTTTGAAACAACGTCCTTCTAAACTTCCAAGAGTCGAATCTAAAGATGTTGATACATCTTCTTTGGTGAGGGATCCGGGGTTGCGTCAACAAATATGGGGTTATCCGGTATCTGAACGTGATGAGATCAGATGTGTTTATATCAAATCCGGGCCATATCAACCCAAGGCTCCGAACAATCAACCTTTTGAAATTGATAAGAATGGGCGTCGTTTTTTAGATTCTTGGTACAAGTTATTTCCGGATTGGTTGGAATACTCTCCAACAAAAAATCATGCGTTTTGCCTTCCATGTTTTCTTTTTACTAAGCCAACTGGACGCCCTAGATCTAGTGCTTTTACAGTCAAGGGATTTTCTTCTTGGAAGAAAGTCAATAATTGATAAGAATGGGCGTCGTTTTTTAGATTCTTGGTACAAGTTATTTCCGGATTGGTTGGAATACTCTCCAACAAAAAATCATGCGTTTTGCCTTCCATGTTTTCTTTTTACTAAGCCAACTGGACGCCCTAGATCTAGTGCTTTTACAATCGAGGGATTTTCTTCTTGGAAGAAAGTCAATGAAGGGAAGAACTGTCCTTTGTTATCGCATATGGGCAAGGATCCTAACTCATCGCATAGAGTTGCTATCAAATGTTGTTGTGATTTAACAAATCAAGCGCAACATATTGAGGCAATTATTGAAAAACAAACTTTCATACAAATTGCTAGAAATCGTTTGCGATTGAAGACCTCGATAGATGTGATTAAATGGTTAACATTCCAAGCATGCGCTTTCAGAGGTCGTGATGAACGCCACGAATCTAACAACCGAGGGAATGTTATTGAGTTGATAAAGCTCTTAGCTTCTTATAATGAGGATGTGGCAGCAGTGGTTTTGGAAAATGCTCCTCAAAATGCTTCCTATCATTCCCATGGGATTCAAAAGCAGATTCTTAGTATTTTCTCTAATAAGATACAAAGATTCATTCGTGAGGAGATTAATGATGGGAAGTTTTGCATTCTAGTTGATGAATCTGAAGATGAATCGAAAAGAGAGCAAATGGCAATTGTTTTGAGATTTGTTGATAAATATGGTTTTATAAAAGAGCGTTTCTTTGACATAGTTCATATGTTAGATACCACGTCAGCAACTTTGAAAGAAGAAATTTGTATTGTCCTTTCTCGTCATAACCTTAGTGTGCAAAATATTCGTGGTCAAGGATATGATGGTGCCAGTAACATGTCTGGAGAATGGACTGGGTTGCAGGCTCTATTTTGTGCTGAGTGACCATTCACATATTATGTTCATTGCTTTGCTCATCGGCTCCAATTGGCTTCAGTAGGAGCATCTAAACAGGTTATATCTATCAATCAATTTTTCTCTTACTTGACTCAAGCAATTAATATAGTTGGCTCATCTTGCAAAAGACATGATCAATTAAGAGCTGCTCAGGCTGCAGATATTGCTGAAAAGCTTGCCATTGATGATGAATTTAAGACTGGTAAAGGAAAAAATCAGATTGGAACATTGAAACGAGTTGGAGATACCCGATGGGGTTCTCATTTGGGTTCCATTTGTAGTTTGATAAACATGTTCAGTGCTACTTATGCAGTCCTAAGAAACATAATTAATGATGGAAGCAAATCGAATCAACGAGCTGAGGCAGATGGAGTTTATGATTCCATTACATCTTTTGAGTTTGTCTTCATCTTACATCTTATGAGGGATATCATGGAGATCAAGATATATTAAATGCAATGCATTTGGTGTCTACAACGAAGATACTTATTCAAAAATTTAGAGAAGATGGATGGGTTCCATTGTTGGAGAAAATTAAATTGTTTTCTAATGATCATGGTATATAGATTCCTGATATGAGTTGTCCTTATAAAGGAGGCCGAGGTCGGTCTCGTTCTGAAAGAGACCAGCTCATCATGGAACATCATTTTCGAGTTGATATTTTTATGGTTACAGTTGATTCCCAGTTACAAGAATTAAACAATAGGTTTAAGGAAGATGTAATGGAATTTCTTGTTCTTAGCTCAGCTTTGGATCCTAGGGATGGTTATAGATCATTCAACATTGAGGATATTTGCAAACTTGGAGATAAATTTTATCCCATGGATTTCTCCGAGCAAGAAAAATTGCATTTGAAGTATCAGTTGGAAAACTATAAGCTTTATATTTCCATACTTCCCGAGTTTCAGAAGCCGTCAACCATTTCTGAGTTGTGCCAAATGTTGGCAAAAACAAAAAAGCCGACAAGTTATCCTCTTATTGATAGATTGATCCATCTTGTGTTGACTTTACCTGTTTCAACTGCTACATCAGAACGTGCATTTTCAGCTATGAAACTCGTTAAGTCTAAATTGCGCAATAGGATGGAAGATGGTTTTTTTTGCTAGTTACTTGATTACGTACATTGAAAAGGACATTGCTCGAGGGTTTGATGTAGACTCTATCATCGATGCTTTTGATATTATGAAAGAACGTCGAGCTCAATTGAAGACGCCTAATTTTAGTAAATAAATGCATGTAGAAATAGTTACTACTTTTTGTAAGTGAATATGGGCAAAAAAATATTCTCAATTGTATGATCATCTTTTGGTACTCAACTATGTTGATAAGGAATATATAGTTCAATATTTTATCGTAACATTATTGATTTTTTTCATACTAGTAGAAATTGGTATTGAATTTCAAATTTTATTAGTTAGAGGTTAAACGTACTTTGGCCCCCCCAAAGTCATAATCCTGGATCCGTCCTTGTCTCTCCGGTGCCTGTTCGGGTGCTCTTAGCTGCTGCTGTTGTGGCCGCGGCCTTCTTCTTTGTCCTCTCTTTCTTCTTCTCCTTCTCCTCCTCCTCCTCCTTCTTGTTCTTGCCCCTCTCCCGCGGTCTTAACCACCGCCGGAGCCGTTGTGTCTGGAGGAGAAATGATCTCGCTGACAGCAGAGGATGTAAGATGGGTGAAGGATTAGATGGAGTCCAAAACATCATATGCACGACAATGTCCTCCATAAGGGCATTAACCCTCACTCTCGCTCTCAACCGCTCCAAGATCTTGTTCAGTCAGTAACCTCTCTCTCTCTTTCAATTTGTCTATGTATGTATTGGATTTTTGGAAATCTACAGTTGTCAAGCTCTTCATTGAAAAGAAATGGTGAATTTAGGTTTTGGATTTTTAGAGATATGTTATATTATGGCCTATAGATTTTAGGTTTTGGATTCTGATTTGGTCTACATTATAATTTCAATGTTTTGGACTTCTATTTGTGTTTCTTAATCAATCATTGAATCTAATTGCATTAACTTCTCCAGTTTTTTTTGAAAAATCTACATACATACTAGTGAATATTTGTGAATGTGTGCCCTGTTCTGGTTCAAGATTGACAAGTTATGGACTTTTAAAGCATCTCCATCACCCATGGAAGGTCCATCAAGATTGTATGTGTGCCCTGTTATGGCCTTTTCTTGATCATTTTTATGTCAGGTTTATTTTTTCGGACATTTATGTTTTAATTGTGTTTGTTCTTTAGTTTTTATGCATCTTAAGTGCTAACATAAATTATGTAGTTTCAGATTATTTAATGCAGATGCATTTATTGTACCCCAATTATCCTTGCCACCTTAGTTTCCTGTAGAAGATCTATATCTACATTCACGGCCTAGCGATGAAAGAAATCTTTATTATTTGACATATTTTTAAAGCCCTGATAAAATATTGCAACCCCACCAAGATGGACTTTAATGGTTTAGTTTGTAATCAGCTGGAATAGGGTGTTGAAGATGAAAAATTCATAACTGTATTGTGGTGTATTATGCTTGACCTTATGATTAGCTATCACGACCTTGTCATAAATTAATTTTCAAAATTGATTGCAGCATTAATTTTATTATTTTACAATAAATGAAACCAAAATTAGATTTTACTTAATAAAAAATTAAAAATAATTTGTCCACTTGTTCTATATTTTATTCATGGTCTTATTGCTATTATTTCTTTTCACATAGAATTTAAGTTTCATCTAGGTTATGTATAATTAATGCAGTGTTCTATTTGTTGAATATTTACTACAGCCTGAACAATTGAACAAAATATTTGAGCTGTGCGGATCTCCAGATGAGATTATTTGGCCTGGGGTTTCCAAGATTCCCTGGTATAACAAGTTCAAGCCAACAAGGCCGATGATACGGCAAGTGAGGGAGGTTTTTAGACAGTAAATATACAAATTGAAGTTGTTAGTTAGACTTGAATTTTTTGGTGTCCATTTTAGTGCAAGAAGTTTGATATCCATAATTCTTATATTGGTTTGCAGTTTTGACTGTCATGCGCTGGATTTACTAGAGAAAATGCTAACCCTTGATCCATCTCAGGTACACATAAATCTCAGGCATAGTGAACTTGTTATTATAGACTATCAGACACTTCATAGCCATAGCATTTTTATTTAGGTGTGCCAGTGAACACAATTATGCGATAATGTGATGTACCAAAATTTGTTAGTTTGTTTTAGGTCTAGCAACAGGGAGTGGATGGATTTTAGTTTGTCTATAAATTTCAGACTAAAATGATTAGTTTATTGACAAACTAAATGATGATTTTTTTACTTCATTAGTTTGGAGAAACTGACACTACAATGTCAATAAAATGACTTACTTCATTAGTTTGGAAAATGACAAAATAAATCTGAGTTTTGACTTATTGCAAAAAGGGTGTAGGAATGGCAATGGGGTGGATATTAATTTTCCATCCTCATTCCCCTATAATAAATTTTTTTCATTTGTGATGTACCAAAATTTGTTTGTTTGTTTTAGGTCAAGCAGCAGGGAGTGGAAGGATTTTAGTTTGTCTATAAATTTCAGACTAAAATGATTAGTTTATTGACAAACTAAATGATGATTTTTTTACTTCATTAGTTTGGAGAAACTGACACTACAATGTCAATAAAATGACTTACTTTATTAGTTTGGAAAATGACAAAATAAATCTGAGTTTTGACTTATTGCAAAAAGGGTGTAGGAATGGCAATGGGGGGCAATGGGGTGGATATTAATTTTCCATCCTCATTCCCCGATAATAAATTTTTTTCATTCCCCATGGGTACTACCCTCTCCATTTTTTAATGGGCATGGATTTTCCCCAACCCACTTTAATCTCCATTTTTATTTTTTATATTTAATGTTAATAACCACTTTTTTTTTTTTAAGGTTCACAACAAAAACTAAATATACCTTCAATCTTTTTTCTTTCTTTTTTAATACATTTAATGTTAACAATTTTTTTTTTTTTTTTTAAGGTTCACAACAAAAACTAAATATACCTTCAATCTTTTTTCTTTCTTTTTTAATATATTTAATGTTAACAATTTTTTTTTTTTAGCTAAATATACCTTCAATCTCTTTTTTTTTTAATATATTTAATGTTAACAACTTATTTTTTGCTTTGGATCTGGGGCTAATAAAGGGGGTTAAGATTGGCTCTGATGGGTTAGTCCTTACTCATCTCCAGTTTGCAGATGATTCTTTGTTACTGTGTGAAGCTGATGTAATGGAGATAAAGAATGTAAAGAAGATTCTGAGGTGCTTTGAGTTGATATCAGGGTTGAAAATAAATTACCATAAAAGTGTAATTAGTGGAGTGGGTATACTCGAAGAGGAAATGACTGAGTACGCATCTGTGCTAAACTGTGAAGTTAAATGTTTGCCATTCAAATACCTCGGTCTACCGCTGGGGGCTAACCCAAGTAGGAAAGCAACTTGGCGGCCTATTCTAGACAAATTCAGAAGCATTATTTTCCACGCCAAACCTCCACCACCATTTCAACATAAGGCAACTATTCACTTCCTTCACTCTCCTAACCCCCAAGCCCCCTTGGTCTACAGGCTTCGCCACTTCCTTCCATTTTACAAGATGAACCCTCCTTTTCAATTCAGAACCCCCCCACAGAAAGCAAGCTTGAAGCTTGTCCAATTCTCTAGCAATCCCCTGTGGCAACTTAAACAATGACATGTAATATATAGGCAGCGAGGACAGGACAGATTTGATTAACACAAGTCTCCCAGCAAATGACAGCAGTTTCCTTTTCCAACCAGCTAGTTTGCTTCTGAATTTGTCTAGAATAGGCCGCCAAGTTGCTTTCCTACTTGGGTTAGCCCCCAGCGGTAGACCGAGGTATTTGAATGGCAAACATTTAACTTCACAGTTTAGCACAGATGCGTACTCAGTCATTTCCTCTTCGAGTATACCCACTTATTCAAGAAATGCATTAATCTGAGATTTTGGATAGCCCTAATTGACTAATGATTCCAAGTAGTCAATTCTCCACCTCCTCCCTTGTTCTGCTCTGTTATGCTTTGTTTCTTTTTCTTCACTTCAATTCTCAGTTGTTGCTTATGTTAGAGTATATCAGTAAATTAGAAAATTCCTCTATTTTCCTAAAATTAAAAAAATAAAAATCACACATCACATGAGAGTCACATGGGCAATCATTTCTGTAGTTGGAAGTGGATTTAATTTTGAGAATAGTTTGTGCAAATATTTAAGGCCTTGTTTGTTTGTTTAGGGGATATAACGGGTATATATAGAGAGTGAAGGACATTATATGAGGTGGGTTTGATAATTTTTATTTATTTATTTATTTTTGTCTTTTTATATCTTGCGTTTGGTTAGCCTGGACGTAGACGAGAAAAGTTAGGTATCATGAAAATTTTTTCATGAAAATGATCATGAAAGATTTATGATCCTTGGATTACCTTGATTAGTGTGTGGTGCTTTATTCTAAGTGTAATTCAAGGGTCACAAAACTTTCATGATTATTTTCATGAAAGATTTTTCATGATACCTAGTATTGCTCGGACGTAGACAACCCATATATCATCTCCCTCAAAAGAGGGGAATATGCAATACTAGTCCAATGGTATTATATATCCCTCAGTATCGATATAGATTTAGCTTTCATCCAACAATCGACAATAATTATTCTCTTTTTATTCTATGTTATATCATATCCTAACCAAATATAATAAAAATAATCCCAGAATACATATATATAATTCATCTTATATCTTAAATATATTATATCATATTTTATATTCCTAAGTATTACATATTAGTCTCAAACTTTTATATATCATCTGGACTATGAAACAAGATCTTAGAATAATCAGGACATTTGGCTTGGTGATTGTATAATATCCTTTGTGGTGTGAGGTCTCAATTTCTATTAAGAGGATTTTGATACTTTTTGTGATGGTGTTTATTTCACCGCATTATGGGAGTTGCGTGAAATAATTACTTTTGTTGTAGAGCGTGATTGTTGGGCTTGAACTTAGTAATTTGTTATTATACAAATTTTGTTGACTTTTTTATGGACTAGTGTTTGATGATATAATATTTCTCATACTTATAATTACTTTTCATCTATTGAGGAAACAAAACTTAGAATAACTAATCTCTAGAACTTGATAGACTTGAGTCAAATTTTTTTTTTTTTTTGAGCAGCAATGAAGATAAATTATATTAGATCATGAAAAAGGTACACAAAGCTTGGAAAGAAATTGCATCATTGTCAAAGCAAAGCATCCAACTAGGTTGGCATACTAACAGGTAAAAGGAAGAGAAGGCGGTTTTCAATGGAGTTGGTCTTTAATAATAATAATAGTACAACGATGACCAGTAATAGAGAGGTAAATCCAGAAATCATGGTAATCGATGCTGGAGAAGGACCAAGTGAAAGTGAAACGATCAATAATGTAGAAGAGTTGTTCACACCTCGAATACCGAGAGTTCCACCGTTGATGAGAAACCATGAAAATAACAAGGGAATGTTTGATCCAAAGGTGGTTTCCATAGGTCCATACCACCATGGCAAAGAGGAACTCCAGCTTGTAGAGAACATCAAGAATAAGGTAGCAAAACTGTTTCTACAAGACAGCGGCAACGATATGGACGCGGTCTACAGCATGATTCTTGAAGAGGTTGTTGATGAAAGGGGGGTTGATGATCCTAGAAGCTACTATGATAAACGTTCAACCGATAAATACAGTCGAAAGCGATTTGCAAATATGATGCTCTTGGATGGTTGTTTCATTCTAGCTATAATTGAGGACTTCTTCCTCTGTGCTGCCAGCGCTGCCAATCAAAAATCAAAATATGATGATGTTAAAAATCATCTAGGCCTTTCACTTTGGTATTCAGCACATGATGATATACTTTACTTGCTTGAGAATCAACTCCCATTTCAAGTTCTTAAGTTGATAATGAGGTTAAAATTCCAAGAAGATGAAGGGATGAAATCCATCATCGCGTTCTTGAAAAGTGTGATTTTTTCGGACACTGGACATATTCTGAATAAGGATGAAGTTATTGTCAGTGAAACCGACAGGAAACCGTTTCATCTCCTTCAATTAGTACGGACAAAGTATCTCAATCTCAACCAATCCCTTCACAAATATTCCAAACCTAAGAGTGATGTGATGGAATATTTTCTCTCATTTGGTTCGGCTACTGAGCTCAAAGCAAAAGGGATACACTTTAGGCCTAACCGCCGCTCTTTATCTCTTGAGGGTATTGAGTTCAAATCTTGGTGCTTCTCTGGACGTCTCGAACTTCATCCTTTCCTTGTTGATCCACCTTACAAACTATTTATGTCAAATATGATTGCTTATGAAATGGTATCATGCACTCGTACTGAGGACCTTGTCATTACGTCTTACATTCATTTCATGCAATTACTGATTGACAACCAGGACGATGTGAAAGAGTTGCGGTCAAAGCATATACTATTCAATGCGCTTGGAAGTGATCAAGAAGTGGCTAATGTTTTCAAAGAGTTCACCATTTTTGGAACTAATGTCATGTTATATGATGATATCAAGCAGAGGATTCAGGTTCACTATAACAGCACTGCCAAGACTTGGATGGCCGAATTTATTAACAAATATTTTAGCAGACCATGGACAGTCATTGCTTTCGCTTCTGCAACTTGTCTCCTTGTCTTGGCTTTTCTCCAGACTTACTACACTATCAAAAGTCACCATAAATAAAGTAAGACCATTTGTTTTCCTGAGTGCTATTTGCTTTCATGTCTCCAGGTTAGTTGGGTCTTTTCTATTTGTTCTCTAGGTATCAACATTTGTCTAACCACACCCCTCTCTCTCTCTCTCTCTCTCTATTTAATGTGTTTGTGTGTGCATTATTTATTAAATAAATGCTTTTTCTTATGTCATGATTGTGATTATTAGTTCTCTTGTAATTTGTATTTTGACGGAGGAATGTAATATTGTTGTTATCAGACTTATTACTATGCATTGTTTAAATTTTTTTGTTTTTTAAATTATTATGATATGATCACTTTTTATTAGTCCAATTTGAAGAGAACCAAACCTCATGTACTTCACAATGAACACTTCTGAAATAAACTATCTCCTTCATTTATTGACAGTGCTTTTATATAAGAGACTAGTGAAGCTAGTTCCAATACAAATGCCCACTACATGTTATAGAAATCTTTTTATTTTTATTTTTATTGTAGTTAATTGTTTTGTTGTTAAGAGTTTAAAAGTAATTACCCTGTTGACAATAATTTATGAATAATAGTTATTGTTTTTGTCTCTTAACCTGAATTATTATAAAAGAAAGGTAGCATACTCTGGATACATTATGAAGCAGAGTATTCCTATATTATAACACAGAAATTATTATTTTGTATAGCCAACCTGTCCAACAAAAAATATACATTTTATTAAATGCCGCTCTACTCGACATTATATAGGGTTCTATTGAGCATCTAGCATTTCATCGTAAGCCACACCCAAAGTCTTATAACAAGAACACTACGTTCTCTTTCTCTTTTAGGCGTCTACTTGTTGGTTCAAATTGATATTGCACAAATTTGCAAGCAAGAGTATAGTTAATTTAAATTAAAAAATTCAATAAAAAAAGTTGAATGTATTGCATATATACAAATAGAAATAGAAAAATACCATAAATTGTAAGATTGATATCAGCTGCAACAACTAGCCAAGCAGATCCCGATGCAGGTTGGCATATATAAAAGGTCACCTCTCCTTGTAATGTGAAACCATTTCTTTTGAAAGTCATCATGTACAAAATCTCACAGTTAACAGTTTTGTGGTGGCTATGATGTTGACATACATCTCCATAGCTTTCTTATTGATTCATTACACAATTTGGGGATGTCATAAAATACTGCAACTACAACTATAAAATATAGATAAAACGTAATTACGAAGTTGTTTCCTTGATGCACTGAACATTTTTTTTTTTCATGCACAGATGTGTTCGGTTTTCTAATGAAATATACCTATGAGATTTACATACCATGTCCTTGTAAGATGATAAAATTTTGCACCGATGCAGCTCTTGAAAGCAATGATGGATCTAGGGGGGGCTTAGGGGGCGGCCGCATTCCCAAAAAATTTGAAAAATATCATATATTATACTAGAAATTTTAAAATAATTTAAAATTATAGGAATTCGCACACCTAATTTTTTTTTTAGATACTTTCAAAATTATATAAAGTAACCACTTTAATTTTTCAAACTATAGAGTAGCCCCCCAAAGTCTAAATCGTGGATCCGTCCCTGCCTGAAAGAAAGATTTTTCAGTAAGTGTTACCAAAGAAACAAATTTCATAATTAGAAGAAAAACATAACCAAAGTTTTTCACATGATGAGTTAAAGAGGCTTTTGCTTCTTTAAAAGTTGTTTGCATGATAAACAAATGCCCTTATGTACTTAAAAGTACTCATTCTTATTTCTTAATCAACTATACCAATCGTCCAGAGTCCATTTGGTTTTAGCATCAGAGCTATTCCAAACTGAGCTAAATTAATTTATCAAAATCAGATCCTCCTCCCCAAATCTATCCCTGATTTCTTCTTATTTCCACCGGTGGTTCAATTCATCAATCAAATGCTCTTACTCAAAAAATTTGAGCATTACACCACACAACACAGTGGATTCAAAGAAACGCATTTTGGCAACCATCGATCAATCAAAAGGGAAATACATTTACCGTTCCCCACTCCATCTACATATGATTGAACTTCTATTATTTCTACCCATATCAGACCATTATGCTCAAAACACACTAGCTTAAATTCTAATCAGTTATTTGATATTCTAACAAGAGTAGGAAATGAAAAACACACGGAAACAAATTAGGATAAATTATACAAATAGTCTAAGGATGGCAATGGATAACCTACCTTGTGAGTATTCATGGAGACCCAACCCAAATACATGAGTTTTCCCTTCTTCTTTTTTTTTATCCATTGAGTAGGATAAGTGATATTCTTTAAATATCCATAGGGCAATGGGTCGGGGATGGGTACTATAGACGTCCCCGAACGCTCCCGGGAGGATGAAGTCCCGTTCTGTTCATTTGGGGTCACTACAGCTCGGACTCTCAAATGTCACGGTTCTTAATCTGAACCAAAGAGTCCAAATCCAGCAAATCGTTTTGAGAAAACATATTTTTAGAAAAGAAGTGCCAAACATGGACTGCTTTGCCAGATACAGAGTCGCCACCTAAATATTTTATTTTGAAAAATTTAGGAAACCCTGACTCGTTGCCTAAGGCCACGTGTCCGTCATCACCAAAGTTACCTCGGCTCGGGAACTTGGGTACGATTGGGGAAGGTCACTTCGTGAGCACCCCCGCTCGCCCGATCAAAGATCGGCCTCTACTAACAGTGCCGATAGACTTTGCAGAGCTTGGCGGGAGGACAACCCCGTTGTCAAATAGATCCTGTATTTCATGACAAAGACGGAAGCAGTTGTCGGTGCTGTGACCAGTTTGCTGGTGGTACGCGCAGTACTGGGTACCATCACGCTTAGCTGGAAGGGGACTCAGGAGAGGCCGAGGCTCGAGGGGTTTGAGATGCCCTTCTTTGATGAGGATTTGAAGGGCCTTAGAAAAATGGGGTACTTTTCGAGAAGATTAGTCAACCTCAGTAAAAATTCTCAAAAACTATTAGTCACTCACACACATGCAAGGATGCTAAAGCATAAAACTTACCGAGTACTCCGAGCCAAAACAGAAGCTGTGTTAGAAATCCATGCATGATCCTAAATATGCTGAAATGCCTAATGCAACACATGCAAGAATGCAACTATAGCAGGCTTGGCTATTCTAAACATGGCATATGAAATGCTACAGCTAACATGTATTCAACTTGGAATTGAAATATAGATGCAGTTAGTATGATGCGCCGAGCCCGGTGCATGCAAAACAGATGAATGAATGCAAACATGCTGTCATACTGTATGCTAATTGAAACATGCCCTAATCTAACCATCATAAGCAGGTAAATAAAAGGAAAGAAAGACGTAGGGTTGGAAGACATACATCACACATACGCACACTTATTACAGTTGTGCCCTCGCACGGAGGGTCCGAATAAATAATATATAGTCCCAAATGAATAATTACAGTCCAAATAATTACAAAACCCTAATTAATTAACAAATTAATCTAGGAAAGCAAGAAATGGGCATGCAAGCCAGAGACTGCCTTGATTCCGCTCCGGATGATAATTGATGCATGTTCGGGTTGCCTTGCGCGGAAATCCACGGCGATGCCCCGATTAGCCTCTGTTTTGCAATAATTTCTTGGAAAGCGCGCCAAGCCCTGAAAGACTGCTGATTCGTGATTTGCTACAACAGAGAGCAGGAAAGAGGCATCGCAATGTATTTTCACAAATATATGCATGCCTCGATCCTCGTGCCACCAATCACGCATCTCGATGCATGATGGCTAAGGAGTCGAATTGCACAACTCAATATGGAATGAATGCACATGAAAACACAATGAGACTTAAACTCTATCATGGGTAATCCGGAGTGTCGGTGACAGGGAATTGAGACACGTTCCGTCACTCGGAGTACGAAACGTCCATTGTTTCCCGTGCTCGGGCTAACTCCTATCCCAAGCACGATGCAATATGCATGATATGCATGAAATGCAACTAAGATGCAACCTAGCATACACAATGCTATGAAATGGCATACACAATGCACGAGGTAATATGGCATACACAATGCGCTAACAGACAACCTAGCATACGCAATGCTATGGAATGAAATGGCATACACAATGCACAATGGACTTATACTAACATGAGTGGACCTCAGCCACACTCACATAAGAGGCCATTAGATGAAAATGAGACAACTCGAGATACGCGCACGCATGCACGCAAACCGAGGACCGAACCTAAGGCACGCATGCCACTCTAACAAAACATGGCAAGGCATGGAATATGATATGCAAACATGTAAATTTCAGAAGCGAGATATGATGCAAAACAGCCCCGAATCATGGAAACATAGCACCCGATGCATGACATGCGACCTGAAACATGAAGTTAGGCACATGCATTGGCCTATAACTATATAAAATATGCATTATTTGGATATGAAATGTAAAGACAGAATTGAGGCAGTCCCAAAAAAATCATGTTTACAGTTTTAAGCAAGGCCAAAAAATGAACACAAATAGGGCTAAACCAATATGCAAAAATGGCCCTAAATGTGAGATAAAGAAGCAAGTAGCATCTGTTAGCCTCAAACAGATGAGAGCCCTTCAACAATGTTGAAGAGGGGCCTAAAATATGATATTTTACAGTTTACACCAAGCCACAAAAACAAACACAAGTATGGCTAAGCTCTCATGCAAGAAATGGGCCAAAAGAGGGACAAAGAAGAAAGTGATGGTTTCTGGCCTAAAAAACAGAGGGGCCCTTCAACAATGTTGAAGAGGGGCCAAAAATATTGCATTTTACAGTTGGTGGAAAGACCCAAAAAAGTATACATGCAAGCCTAAAATACTATGCAAAATATGGCCTAAAAGAGGGCTTAAACACAAAGTGTAAAAAAGAAGCCTTAAACAGAAAAAGACCCTTGATCAAACATTAAGAGGGGGTCAAAATAAGGCTATTTAAAGTTCTGAAAAGAGCCCAAAAATATAAGCACAAAGGGCTAACAAATCATGCAAAAATATGGCCAAAAGAGAGATATA